TGAAGAAATGAGACCCAATTCTAGGGAGTCTGTGGTAGAAATGGAAAAGAAAAGTGATCAAGAAACTGGTTAACTGGTCATCTCTAAAAATATTTCTTTTTATTTTGTGAGGGTTAATTTTCACCTATTGATCCTTTCTTTCCAGCCCTGCAGAATTAAGCTATGTGCCTTCAGCAAGTTAAAAAGGGAGAAAGTCCTCTCTGTGTTGATCCCGTATTCTCGTAGTTTCGGGAATTTCCTTGCTGTCTCACCTTTGTGCTTTTGCCCAGTTGCTCCCTCCACCCAGCACACCATTTCCTGTCCCCCTACTCGTTTGGCTGCAATAAGAAAGGTTAAATGTCTTCTAGTAGTAAAGGTGCTTTTAGAGAGTACTTTTTAACATTTTTCATGTCATAGCACACCGAGAAAAAAGGATAATATTAGCATTGCACAATAGAGTAACGTGGAAGGGACTTGGCTATATCTGTAAAAAAGGGCTTGGTGAGAGTATTTCTTTATATTTCTTTACACATCTTTATGTAATATAAATATAATAAATATAATATGCATAGCATTAAGGAAAATACTAAATACTGAGTGTGTCTGAAATTCCCTAATAATATCTTCTTGAAATTCTTAAGGAGAATTTTGAGCTAGATTCCATGAACAAAACTTGTTTATATGTGCCTTTGTACTTGAAATATGATACACATTTCCTGATCAAATTTTTTAAATGACTCAGGCGTTATCTGTGTTCTCAATAATTATCGTGGGGATCTTTGCACAAGAAAGGGACGAAAATGTAAAACCAGGTTTTTTACAACTGTTGAAAAGTTTTAAAAATTTACCAGCTCTTCTTTTTTCTTCATTGACAAGATGTAATGTTAAATTTTCTAGGATAATGAGAATAAAATTTTAGTCCATTTGAACTCTTTTTCATATCAGATATTTCAAAGGATGATGAAGCTCTCATTTTCAAAAAGTCCACGTGTTACAGGAGTCACCTGGCTGCTAGGTTAGTCAAAAGGCACATCAGTCACAAATACACAGAAGTGCCTAATACATTCAAAGTCCAAGATTCGGAGCTATCACTGCAAGCTACCTCCACCGGGATAACCTACCCAGCCTTCAGGCATCTTTACTCTAGTTGGCCGCACTCTGGGCTGCGTGCCTTGTCCCAGGCATGCTGGAACACCAACCCTCCCAGAAATTCCAGGGGTCTCTTGACTGCAGCAGACAGCATCACTCTCTCAGCTGGCTGCTGCCGTCCTTCGTGGTTCCATTCAGCACATGGCAAATGCCACCATTGTGCTTGTTCCTTTTGAGGATTATGGGGTGCACTGTTGAATTCTAACACGGCCCAGGCCACCCTCCAAGGAACCCTTGATCAGACTTCTCACAGATAGAAGCCACCTCTGAGGGCTCTGCCCCCGCTTCCCACCCAGCCAGTCCAAGGTTGAAGGAATCAACATTTCATGGCACATCTGTAACCTTTTTGATGCCAAGACACACTGGTTGGGAAACTCTGCTTTAAGGTGAGCTGTGGTGCTATTTCCCCAAGCTAAACAGCTATTTTTAGCGCCAAACCAATATTTTGATATTCTCTTGTTGCAGCCTAGCTACCCATGGGCATTTTTCTTATGCTTCATTAAATATTTCTTGTTTTATGTTGCTTATGAAATGATCTTCACTTTTAAGTCATCTTATGATTATATATTGTTTCCCCAGTTTATAAACTGTTTTGGTGAATACTGTATCGTACAGGTAGAAGCTGTCTAATATATTCTTTTTGAATGTGAAGAAGAAAATGCAAAGCTTCATTCCAGTGATTGAGAGATGCACCTTAATTTTTCCTTATGCCACTTGGCTCATGATTCACGACTAATAAATGTTCTTCAAGAACTAGGGCTTAAGAAATATGTCAGTCAGGGTAATTTATTTCTTTGCTCTGCAAACAGGTCAAAGATATACATTCATTTTGTGCCTTTTTCCTGATTTCATCAATATTTTTACCCTGCTCTACTGACTCAGGGGCTTTCTATTTTCCATTGCTCACCCTTTGGGATATCTGCACATTTAGGTCTGGTGACAACTCAGGAATAGGGGGAATTAAGAGTGAATACTGATCTATGCCATGCCAGAAGGTTCAGAGGGAATAGCAGCCACTAACATTGTCTTCAGGAGGGTTATAATCTGAGAAACCAAGAGGGCATTAATAAAGTGGCTCAAGTCACCTTCAAAACAACATGATGTCAGGTTTATAAAAATATAGTGTACAACTTATGTGCAGGGAAGGAGCCATATTTTATGCATCTATTTGATCCTCATCAACACCTAGGATAGTGCTAACATAGAAAGTACCTCCAAATTCTAGTTTACAAATTCCACGATGCTCCAGGTTTCTTTATCCTAATCATTCTTGTTCCCAACAACTGAAATTGGGACTTGGATTTAACTTTTGCCTACATACCAGCTGGATATCTTTGGAAATTTACTAAACCTTCTCAAGACTCAGTTTCCTGCTCTGTAAAAGGCATAATAAAGTGCTACCTCATAGGAGTTTTTGAGGAGTAAATGAAATAATAAAGTGCTTAGTAGCTTAGAGCAGTGTCTGGCACTCGTTACTCCGTCTATTGATATTAGTAATTGTGATTGCTATGGCCCCCGTATTTTGTTAGTTCTTATTCTGAACTCTCTGCTGCAGTGAATTAGGTTTCTTTCTGGTCCCTATAACAAGACATGCTTGTTCCATTAATCATTTCAATTACCCAGTAAACATTTACACAGCATTGCTACATGGCAGGCTCTTGGGTCAGCTCCCCACTGCCACCAGGGAATGGCCTCCCGTCTTTTATACCATTGTCTTATGTGTATCAGGATCCAACTCATATCTTATCCAGACGTTTTTCTCGGTTATTCCACCTGATAGAGAAAAGGCAGTTTGCGTAGAAAAAGAGAATGACAAATTCATGTAAGCTGTTATATTAAGAAAGGTCTGAAGAAATGAGACCCAATTCTAGGGAGTCTGTGGTAGAAATGGAAAAGAAAAGTGATCAAGAAACTGGTTAACTGGTCATCTCTACAGAGGGGAACTGTTCGGTAACAGGGTGGAAGGGAGACTCACGTTTCATACCATACCTTTCTGTATTTTTCGAATTTTGTGCTGGGTACATGTGTTACTGCTTTAAAAATGAAAAGTGATAATTTGTCAAAAGAGGATCCTCTTTTCTAAAAAATTCTAAAAATTGAAAGAAAAAAACAGATGGCATTGAAAGAAGTATGACCATAGAATTAAAGAGATGGGAGATTAAGCCCTAGAAGATTAAGCCCAAGAAATAAATTTTCATGTGGCCACTTGTGTCTCTTTTCCATAAACCAGACACCAGGTACATCAGTCCCCTTTGTTGATAAACATTGGTTGGTATTGTTTTTGAGAAATGCACTGATTTTCTGCTTCAAACATGGTGCCTTTGCACCAGCAACCCACATGTATAAAATCTCATCATTAGAAATCTATACTTCCAAATGTCCAGTCACAGAATCTCCTGAGAATATTCTTTATAAAGGGGGGAAAAAAAGGCTAGCAAGAGGTCTATGGGAGTACTCATAGTTTAAAGTTATTGAGAAAAATAATAAGTATCATTCAAAGCCATTTATAATGGTTTTGTCATATATTGCATGACTGTTTTAAACAGTTCCAGATTTAGCTTTCAAAGTATACATTATTTAGTCTCCTTGGAAATAGGTGTGGAAGAAAGAAAGTTTGTATGTATTTGCACTCATGGGTAGAATTGTAGAGAAGTTTTGGGAGGTGTGCTGTATTAAAATCCAACAAGAATCCAAAGGCTTGCCGTATGTAAAGCATTCTGTTAAGTGCTTAGGAGAGAGGAAGATGGGCCATGACTGGTGCTTGACAGCTAGCAGTTCCACCAGCACAAAACACATAATCTGAATGTAAAAAGGGAGGTTGGTGACCCTTCACAGAAAAATTTGGGAGAAGTAAAACGAACTCCCTTAAGACTAAATCAATGTTTGCTTATTTTTCTAATTATGAAAGTAAAATAGGCATATGAATATTTTATAAATTTGGAAAAAGAACAAAAATGAAATTCAAGAGCAATGATTTCTTAATGGTAAACGTATAAAAGATGCATTTGCTTCTGCACATTTCAACATGCACTCATCAACTTGTATCACGTTA